ACAATATATATGTGTGTGTAGATAGTTATACTACTGATTTCTCTGAATTTACTGAAGAGAAAGATTTGTGCTGCTGTTCAGATAATTGAATGCAGATGTCTTTCTTGTGCTCTTGGTGACTGATTTTGGGGATGGCAATGTGCAATATGCATACCATTATTGTTCCTTGATTTTTGTGTTTTGAAATTTTATTTTTTTTATCTCTCTGAAATAAATGGCTTTAAAAAAATAAAAGATTGCAGTGATTCTTTGCTTCAGCCTCACAAGTGCTGGGATTACAAGTGTGCACCACCATGACTGATCAGCATGGTATTTTCATAATGCATGTAACATACTTTGATCATTTCTTTGCTTTATAACCTTTCCTTATGCTCCCCTATTCATTCCCCTAATCCTCCTCCTAACATTCTCCCTTCTACTTTCATATCACCTTTTTTGTTCTAGATCCCACAAACATGTAGCACTTGTCTTTCTAAGCCTGGTTTATTTCGCTTAACATGAACTAGTTTCATCCCTTTTCCCTATTTTCTGGTTCCATTCTTCTTTATGGCTATATAATACTCCATTTTACATATGTACCATTTTCTTTACCCATTCAGCTCTGATAGACACCTAGGCTGATTCTATGTCTTGGTTCTTGTGAACGGTACTGAATAATTGTGAATTACACTGTGGATATCTTCATGGTATACTTATTTTAATTCTTTTGGGTATATACCAAGGAGTGTTATAGCTGGGACACATGGTAGTTCAGTCTGTTTGGGTTTTTTTTGAAGACAGAGGCACTTTTTATTTTATTTTTATTGTAAAGAGGAAAAAAACACAGAAAAGAAAAACAAACAAAAAAACGAGAACATAACAAACAATAACTACAAGAACAACAAAAAAACCAAAACAATATAGGATTTCAAACATATGAAACTATTAACTATCTATGTTTTATATAAAACATATAAAACTATTTTTAGTTTTTTATGTAGTCTTCACACTGATTTCCACAGTAGTTATACTAATTTACATTCACATTAGTAGCATATAAAAGTCCCCTTTCCTCCCTAATCCTCACCACTATGAGTCTTAAATTATATCAAAACAAAAGTTTTTATAAAAAGTCATATGACTTTTGGTAATACTACTTTGTCCACAATATGGCAAGAAATTAATTCAAAGTTTTTTTTATGCTTGGGGATACTGGATAATATATATAGTTATAATCAAATACTGAAAAAACCAAAATTTTTGTATTAAGATAAAAATATTCTATCAGACAAAAGTGCTTATCAAAGCTTTTACCATGAGGATGATGATATTGTTGGTCCTCTGCTAAATTAGACAATGTTCTTTGTACACATGCTTTACATGACAATTTGTAACAACAATTATATTGGGTCATGGTAGTTTTATTCATACATATTTTACAACTACTTTGTTTCTTATTTCCCAAAATTGAAGCCTCAGTAGGAGAAAGTACTCCGGTTGTTTTGGATCTCTCCTTTACTGGATTAATCAACTTGAACAACGTCCACATATAAATTCAAATAAATGGACATAAAATTTAATAGGAAAAATAAAAAATCAAGTTCATAATAACAGAAATCATGCTACAAGTTAATAAAAGCAAAAATAAACTTGTATTCAATGAATTTTTCAACAACTGTAACGTATTCAATGAATTTTTCAACAACTGTAACAAGCTCTTCCAAATATAACTTTGTAATAGGGAATCCATTTTAATTAGAAGTGTCTGAATGCAATGTGAAATTAACTTCAAGGTGCATTCACATTTGGTGTGATTCTGGTTCTGATGATTTAGTCATGTAAGCAGAGGGGGAGCAATACATTCTAGTAGAAAAAAATACAGAATTCAAACAGTTCATTAAGATAAATTCTAGTTTCACACAGTAACTTTAAAAACAATTATTACATTAAATATTGTATCTATATAATATTGTTTCTTTCAGAGACTCAAATACTATTTATTGCTCTAGGTCGGAGTTAGAATGAGAAAAACACTGGGTTTCCACAAGCAAATGTCTTGTGTTAAATATACACTGTAATAATTTTTAAAATATACTTTTAAAAACTCTTACATTTGCTGAACTACATATCAATTTAGGAAAATGACTCAACTTTGAGTAAGTTAACTCTATGACTTCAATTAGGTAAGCTGGTAGGGATTTCATGTTGCTTCACCTGCCAAGTAAAAAGTTCTTCTTTAAGAGATCCTAATTTTCTTTAAATACTATCTAGAGGTGAGATTATAATCGGTCCTAATCTTCTGATTCAAAGATGAGTAAGAGCCAAGCCAAGAGAAAGATAGCAGACTCCCACTTTTCCTGGGACTACTGGCAAAAATATGCTTTCTTTTAGAGCTGCTGAGCTGGCTGGCTGTCAGCTCCAGAATAAATTTAATCAAGAGGGAAGATATTAGGGATGAAGAAAAACAATTTTGTAGTTATGTGATTACCTAAAACTAGCAGTACTGAAGCTTTTAGGTTACACGAGTTAAGCAAAAAATACCTTTTCACCTGCTTTGATTTATCATTTTCAATTAAGAGTTGTTGCTAATAAAATTTACCAGATAATCTCCAAATTATTCACGGTTCCACAGGTATAATAATAATAATTATTATTTTTGAGACAGGGTCTTAAGGTCGACTTCAGGTGGCCTTGAGTATACTATGTAGCACGAGCTGGCCTCCAACTTCCAGCAATCCTCCTGGTCAAAGGCTCCCTGAGTGCTGGGATTACAGACAGGTACCACTATACCTGGAAAATGAGTCCTAAATTATCAAAAGATTTTGGAATTAATAAAAAATCTAAACTGAGAATGTTTAGAAGATTAAGAAGTGTACTTTAAAGATAGAAAATGGACAATTATGTAGATTGATCTGAACATAGTCCTGGCTTTGTGCATTTGCAGTGAGGCTGAACTTGATAAAGCCATCTCTCTGAGACTCTAAGAATATGAGGATAAGAGAGGAAAACTGAACAGGATAACTTTTTTTTGTCTTTTTCCTTTTTATTGGTACCGGGGATCGAACTCACAACTGCCTGCTTGCAAGGCAGGCTCTTATGCCTCTTAACCCCAACCCCGCGACCAGGATAACTTTTAAGGCCTTACAAAGTGCCTGCTTGTAAGCACTGTAAGAAAACTGTCATCTTTGATACAATTTGACTATAAGTAAAGGGCTATTTGTTATTTCATTCCTCCATTAAGTATTTAGAATGCTTATTGTTTACTAGGTTCTGGACTAAGTTTCTAACATCAAGAATAAACTTAGAGTCTAGCAGAAGAGAAAAATATTAGAACAATTAAATAATTACCCCATGTGGTTAAGTGAAAAAAAAAAATGATAGGCACAAAAATAATCCCAAAGTGGGAAGAGAACAGGCTTCACAGAGCAATATCTGAAACTAATTTTTTAACAGATAAAGAGGTTTGCCAAATCAACAAAAAAAGCAGGATGGTCCTAAAGTGAGTAACAGACTGCTTAAAGGAATTTATAAACAAGTCAGTAGTGAAGGTAAAACAAGTTATCAAGACAAGGAATTAATGTTTAAGAGCTATTCCAAAATTATAAAGGGATTCATATGCTGTCCGAAATAGGATGGAATTTATACTATTAATATTCTCCCCTTTTGGAATTACCCTGGAAGAGAAAATTTACCAGATTCTAAAATGTACTAGCTTTTAATAGTTCTACTAACCATGAAAAATTCTGAGTAACATAGTTAGTTACCTTTATGAGGCTAGAGAAAACAATCATATAATTGTGCTATTTAAATAGTCTCAGTCTGGCATATTACCTAGTCGATTAAAGTTAAGGTGTGATAAATGTTTAGTCAATGAACTGTAGTAGTCTGACCCAACAGGAGTGAACATGGATCTTAAAATACAGAACGACAAGAAACGGAAAAACTTTTCAAGTAGACAACCTTTCTCTTAATGATTTTTTCTTTCCTTTCATATAGTTAGGACTTAACCAAAAGACTTCTTCCCAACTCAAATACAAAGACCATAGCCATAACCTAGTCCATCGTCTTCCCAGGCACTGTCCAAGATTAAATTTATCTTCTTCAACTCCACAAACTATCTCAGCTTTGAAATTCCTGCAGTCTTTTACTGTTCTAAAACGCTCACAACTATTGCAGAGCACTGCTAGAGTATCTCCGTCATGCTCACTGATATCACATCATTATTTGCAACCTACACTATCACAGCTTCACTCAGCCTATTCAGTTTTACAGATCTCATTAAGGTACGAGTACAGAATTTGTGATGTCCTAAGTCCACGTGTACTTAAAACGTGAAACCACATACGTAGTTTTCGTTCATATCGTAAAACCAAACGATTTAACAAAGATCCACGCGATATCAGTATTGAAACCAAGGGTCACAGATTCAACTAGCACCTGTTTTTTTCCCTTCTATTTCCGTGAAAGGGCAGGGAAGAATGATAGATGGGTTAAAGGGAGGGGAATCAGAGAATAAGGCCTTACTTCCGACTGTCACGCTGCATCAAAAAAACTAACAGTAATGTCCTTGCGCAAGCCACAGGAAATAGGACGTCAGATTCCAAGGCTCGAAGGGCAGTTTTCAAGGGGAAAGACACAAAATAAAAGTACTCTCTAGAAGCAGATGCTCTAATTTGCTCAGAACTCACCTGTCAAGAGCGGCGTGGAGGGCGCCATCTTGTCCCGGAAAAAGAAACCTTTGCGCTCGGGTGAAAGTTCAACGAGGGCCGAACCCGGCCCCTACACGTCTCCTCAGGCGTGGAGAACGCTAATTTGTTTCCGGGACCAGCAACCTCGGGGCTCCTTCACTTCCGGTTGTAGGGCGCTCATGCGCAGCTCTGCGGTACCGCTTCCCGGAGAGCGCGAGGGCCGGACTAGGGCGGGTGCCCCGCCCCGGCCTTCTTTCTCCAGAGGGCGGAGCCTGGATTTCCGCGGGGCGGAGCCTCTTCAGTGCTGACGTTGGCAGCCGAACCCAAAGTAGTTCGAGGCTGCGGGCTGCACTATCAGGTTCTTGCGTTGTCCTCTCTCACTCCACGCTCCCAGCAGCGGCCAGAGCAGCGGCGCGAGAGCGTCCCGGCTGCCTGCTCCCTTCCTCCGGTGCGCCCGCCTTGCTGGGCCGGTCAGTCCGTCGCGGTCGGTCGGCGGCCCGCGCCCCGCTAGCTCCCCGGCCCCGAGCTCGCCGCGCCCAGGCCCAGCGGCCGTAGCCAGCGCCTGGCCTGAGCGCCTCCTGGCCGCGGCAGCGCGGGCACCAGGAGCGGCACCTCACAACGACCCGGGGGAGGCGAGCGAGCGAGTCCGAGCGGCGGCCGGGACAGGTGGTAGCACCGCGAAGATGGTCGCCAAGCAGCGGATCCGTATGGCCAACGAGAAGCACAGCAAGAACATCACCCAGCGCGGCAACGTCGCCAAGACCTCGGTAAGGGGAAAGCGGGCGCCCCTCTCCGTTCCCGCGCCCCGAGGCCCGTGGAGTTCTCCCCAGAGCCAGATGCTAAATGGAGGGCTCAGGACCGGAGGGGACACCTGTGAGGGAGGGTGGGCAAGGGCCCGGTGACCTGGACCCGGCACAGCCGGTAGTGGGAGCCCGGGTCCAAGTGGTTTCTCTGTCCCTGAAATTGGATTTTTCCTTTTGCAGAGAAATGCCCCCGAGGAAAAGGCGTCGGTAGGACCCTGGTTACTGGCTCTTTTCATTTTTGTTGTTTGTGGCTCTGGTAAGTGTTTCGGGGGCGCCTATTGAGTAGCATACTGGGTGAAAAGTTTGAGGTGACGTAGTGACAGATCAGCAGCGAACCCCATCGCGAGGTTCTCAACCCACCTTGCCCAGAGCACCACACAGTAGTGTTTCTTGTGAACCAGATAACTTGTCCCACATATGCACTGAAGTGGTGCTCCAGAAACTTCTCCCAGCTTGATTTGTGCTCACAGGAGATCAGAAAAGAGGTCAAATCTTTGTAATGATCAAGTAGTGTGTGTGTGGAGGGGACCCTCAGGAAATGAGAATTTAGAATGTCTTGGCAACTCCATTAGCAGTGCCTTTGCAGAGAAACATATGCACATATGGACGTTAGAATTTAACTGTACCACAGTCTTAAAATCTTTAATGGCTAAGATTTGGTATATTTTAGAAAGTTCAGCTGGTACAGAGAATTTTTATAAAAGAAGGGTACTTGTTGGGCAATTTAATGTGTCTGACAAATGTTTTTAGGTTAGAAGTTTGACATATGGTAAGAAAAATTAGTTATCAGGGAAACCTGCTGTTACAGTAACAAATTCTTGCTTCTGGAAATGTATTACAGAATGTCTTTCTTCATTTGTCATCTTAATATGCAAGATGTTAATATTGATGTAGATGATTCTGTTTCCCACATTCTAAAGTTAGTAAGACTTCTAATTAACATTTTTTTGCCTTCCTCCTAAACCTATCAGTTGGAAGCGTTCCTGATAAACGGCTAAGAGCCAAACAGTTTACATAACCCGAAGATTATTGAATTTCAGCTTTGTGAGAATGAGGAAACATGCATATATTTTAAGCCAGCCCTTAAAAAGGATGCTTAATTATTTAGGGATAAACCAAAAAGATTCTGTGCTAGAAAAACCTGTTTGCTTTGGTGCTTAAATTTTTCACTACCTGCAAGCCCTTTTGGATCTTTACACATAAAATTCAGGGAAGCCAAGATTAAAAAATAATTTGATCTGTCAAGGTAGCTCCAGTGGTACAGGACTTACCGAGCATGTTCAAAGCCTTGGTTCAACTCCTGGCATCACACATACACGCACACACAAAAAATAATAATATAATATAGTAACTCCTAATGGGCATTATGTTTTATCTATTAAGATAAGCCTGTTTTCACTTATTATACTAAAGGAAGATAGTATTTGTAAATGATTATGGTTTCAAATTCTTCAGCTAACTACCTTAGTAGACCTGTTTTATTTGAAGCTTATTTTAATATTTGCTCTTTTTCTTTACAGCAATTTTCCAGATTATTCAAAGTATCAGGATGGGCATGTGAAGTGACTGACCTTAAGATGTTTCCATTCTCCTGTGAATTTTAACTTGAACTCATTCCTGATGTTTGATATCCCGGTTAAAAACAATACAGTAAAGCATCCTGCCTCAGAATGACTTTCAAATCATTCTTCACGTGTCATTCCAAGGTTTCTTCACAAGTCATTCCAGATTTTCTAGTCCATACCACAGTGCCTTGCAAAAGCACCATATGAATAAAGCAATAAAATTTGATTGTTAAGCTATAGTAGCGGACCCTTATTCAGTCAGTAAAGAGTAAGTTTTTTTTAAAGTGATTATTAAAGTAGTATGCAGTATGGGTAATTAGATTAAATCTGTGTAGACAGGGTCTAGATTTTATTAACCCTGATATGTAAATGCAGTTAGCTTAATTTAAAATTTGGAATCTTGAGGTTTTGGTATAGCTAGGCACTTTATTACTCTTGAATTGAAAGCACACTCTATTATAGGGTCATGTAACTATTCTATAATAAGGTGCTTATATGTAAATGGAGGAACTACACAGCCTAGTTTTGACGCAACCATTAGCACCTAAAATTTTTAAAAGCTAAATGCATACTCGGAGATGCTTATAGCTACATCTATTTTAATGTTATTATTTCTGTTACACTACCTTGGATTTTGCATGCATAAGTATAGTAACCTCGGATCCCATTGTAAGAAATAAACTTAGATGAAAAAAGCTTTTATTACCTAAGCAGTTTCACTAAAATCTACCATGGTGGAGTAAAGGCAGGGAAGACTTGTTTATGTCACACTGATTTCACCAGAATTAATTTAATACATCAAAGGGGTTTACTATGTTAGACAAAATTTTAGGGAAAAATACTGGAAATGAATGCTTCATCAACACATACTGTTGAGTCCAGTGTGCTAGAAGACGTTTTAGCTTGTTAGTAGCACCTTTAATAGCAAAACAAGCACATCAGTAAGTTACGCTTAGATTGAAAATGGTTTTTCTGTGTTTATGACAAATTCCCTTAGGATACTAGATACATCAGACTAAAGTGGCATTTGGGATTAAAAGGATTTACTGATAATATTCAATTTTTGGTCTTGTATAATTTTATAGATTATTCAATAGACTTTCTTTTTACAAATAGGGCAAGAGTGATAAGGTAGGTTTTGGGTTTTCTAATATGCAAGTTTGTTGACAACTGCAAGTATTGGCTGTTAATACACTTAGCCATAATTTAGTACCAAAAGCCAGGGCAGGGTCTGTGTATTAAGAATTTGGAACAAGGCTGCTTGTTTGCTTTGTTAATTGCCTCAGGATATCTCTTAAATAAGCTTTTTAAAGAGGAACAGAAGGGAAATCTGCTACCTAGTCTATATACAGTGAACTTCATAGGGACTTTATTACTCTCGAATACAGAAGAAAGTAAAAGTTGATAGGGACAACGTGTAAAGAACTTAACTGCTCAAATAGGAAAGGAATCAGTTGACTTTGGGCCAGCAGGTTTTTCTTGACCAAATTGTTACCTGTCTTTCTCACCCAATAAATCCCTTCTCTCTTTGAAACAGATCTTGGTTAATTCTATTTTATTATAACTAAAACAAAGTTACTGCTCTAAACTTACAGCAGGTGCCTTATTCTTTGCTTTTTTTTTTTGGAGTTAGGGCCTCACTATGCAGTTCAGGCTGGCCTTGAGCTTACTTTGTAGCCCAGGCTGGTCTTGAACTTGCAATGATCCTCTTGCCTCAGCCTCCTGAGTGCTAGGATTATAGGTGTACACCACCATTCCCTCAGCTTTTATTCTTTGCTTTGAATCAAATCATTACATATCACAATTTCCCTTGGTTCATAGATAATTGGCTTTAAGGTTTTTTTTTTTTTTGTTTAGCTGTACAATATTTTGATTAATTTGACCGTTAAATTGCTATAACCAGCAATTGTTTCATGTGTGTAAAATTTCATTCCCTTTGTATTTCGTATGTAATTTACCAGCTGAGTACATTTTGTATTCAGGTTGAATTATGCATGTTTGGGTAAATAAGAGCTATGTCTATTTGATTTATGGTTTAAAAATAAAGTTTCCTGAATATTTGATGTTTTTCTAACAGAAAATGACTTTACAGAGTTCTTACCTGAATGTACTTTTATAGTTAAAAGAAAATTATTTTAAGAATGTCTAGTGGTATCTTGTACTCAGTAGTACTTACAGGCACAGATGTAAGATTTGTAATGAAATGGGTAGTATGAAAAATATATTGAAAGCAAAATGAATGAAATAATTCTCCAATTAGGATATACTCATCCAAGTCTGGTTCAAGGAAAAAGCACAATTCTTTGATCTGCCTTTCCAGTTGAATTTTACATTTCATCTAATGTAGAGCAGAGTATGTGAATAAATAATTTATTGAGATTCCCACTAGCTAATAACTGATTTAACTCTCTAGGCATTGTCAATTATTTCATTGTATTTGTCAAGTTATATTTGATGCTGAAAATAACTGAGTGTTCTTCTAAAATAAGTCTAGATTTTTATTGTAACAGGATGCATTATAATGGGATTTGACGCACATTAAAGAAATGCATACCCGTATGCTCAACTTCAGGGCCATGGCTCTTCTCCCTGAGGTGCTGGAGTTTGGTTGTCACAATGTCATATAAAGTGCTGTTATATTCTTGGGCTCCCCAGTAGATACAGTAGGAAAACGTCCTTGTGCTTTAGCATATGTAGAATTTTGAACGTCGTCAGATTCTTCACTTAGAGACTGTTCTGAAGTTTGATTTGCTTTTGCTTACTTTTTTAACGTTTTTGTGGTGCTGGGGATGGAACCATGGGAGTCACGCTGGGCAAATTACCGCCAAGACACACCCCGAGGCCTATTTGAAAATTACTGTATTTGATGCAGGTGGTAACTTTAGGAATTGGTTTCAACAGCAAACTCCACATCACTTCTTTAGAGCTTTTCCTGTTGAGACCTGCTCTCACTCTTAACTAACTACACTGCTTTATCTTTAAGGTGGATTGGGACATGTCTTTAGATGGAAAGGCTACTAATGAGCAATAAAAAACTAAAAGTTAAACTGAAAGGGAAAAAGTGAGCTTTGATTCAAATTTCTAGATGTCACAGAAACAAAGATAGGAAGGGCGTGGGAAATTACAACTGCTTCAGTTCACATATGAAATACACATTTATTCAGTGAATACTAAAGTGGCAGGTGGAGATAGAGCTCTGATACCTCCTCTGATTGAGGGTTCCATCACTCAAGTGTATTTTAATCTGGGACAGAAGCGACACAACTGCAAGCATGTTGATGATTTGTGGTATTTCAAAGAAAAAAGTAAATCAGATAAATGGTATTTGCCGTCATAGACTTTTGCGGGAGCAGAAACTAGAACTGAGGTTCCTTGATTCACTCTACAGAAGCCTTAGAAAAATTTTAACAAGACATTTCTTTTCCTGATTTTTTTTTTTTTTTTTTTTTTTTTTTTTTGTCTTTTTCCTTTTTATCGGTACCGGAGATCGAACTCACGACTGCCTGCTTTATAAGGCAGGTGCTTATGCCGCTGAGCTAAATCCCCAGCCGCAACAAAACATTTCAGTGAACATTTTTTTGTCTTTTAGAAAAGTTTTTCAGCTTTTTTAAATTGCCAATTTAAATAAAAATTTATCCCTTTAAGGATGCAATTTCTTTTGAAAATGAATCTAACCTATTGATGTTTCTTGTGAGAAAAATGCAAAAGTCAAATGTGATTAATGCTGTGGCATTCAAGATGTCATATTTTGCTAAAAGTATTTTGCTTTAAAGTTTTTAGTCTTATGAAAACTCATAAAACAAAATTAGTAATTACTAGATGGTCAGTCCAAGAAACAGTGAAGTATTGTCCATAGGTACTTTTTATAACAAAGGTTTGGTGAAGCCAGGCATAGTGGCACATACCTGTAATCCCAGCACTCGGTGGGCAGAGGCAGGAGGATCATGGCCAGTTCAAGACCAGCTTGGGTTAAAAGTAAACTCAAGGCCAGCCTGCTTTTCACAGTGGGACCCTGTCTCAAAAAGAGCCCCCATAAAGGCTCTGTGAATAAACTGGGTGATTTCCACTGAGGATTTCTTTTCCATTCAATTGATTCCTACTTTGCCATGCAGATGGTGCAGATCTGTAAATTTAAATAAAACGTTTCAATATCATTCAGGTGGTTTAATAACAGGTTTTTCTTTTTTGTTACAGGGAAAGTCAAGTGAGGATGAGAATTGATTAGAAGTGGGATAATTCTTTTAGAAATTTTAGAAATGGTCATGATTAACCCCTTTTGTTTACATGTGAGGAAATTATGGCTTAAAGAAGTTCTCTTTTAGGGGCTGGGGATTTAGCTCAGCAGCATAAGCGCCTGCCTTGCAAGCAGGCAGTTGTGAGTTCAATCCCTGGTACCGATAAAAAGGAAAAAAAAAGAAGTTATCTTTCTCCATAGTATAGAATAGCAGAACAAAGGTTAGGAAATTGGGTTTGTAAGAACTAAACTAAGTCTTTAGTATGATGGATGCCAAGAAATTAAAATTTTTTTAAATGTATCTTTTTACCTTAAAAGATTATATATAAATCTCAAGAAGCTCTGTGAGTTTTTCTTAGTGCAAAACCTGAAGTTTTCCTTCGGTGGGAAATCTGGAGATTGCTAAACTTCAGTAGTTCTCCCCCTGCCATTAGGATGGGGTAACTGTGCCTTGGTTTCCAGATCACTTAGCTCTGTGTCTGCCTGCCTTTACAGCCGTGTCCTCCACAGCTGCTCTCTGTGGAACTGTCCTGTCCCACACTTTGCAGAGACCTTGTAATTTTTAAGTGTTTTGTTTATTTCCCCTACATTATACTATCTTTTCAGAGTCTGCTGTAATTTCACTTGCACTTCAAAATTTTTCTCTCACCATATGGGTCAGAAGCACTAGTTTTGAAGACGAGGACTCTGCGTCAGTTGCTATGTTTATTTTGTTTCTTAGTTTCTCAGCTCATGTATAGAATCCTTGAAGCTCAGAGCCATGTCTGTTTTTTCTTGTTCTTTTACCACCGCTATGGCTAATAACGAAGCTTTACACACCCAGTATGAACTCAGCATATTAGTTGAGTGATGGTGAACAAGGGAAAATGATAAGTAAGAAATACATCTTTTTAAAGTTCTCCGCTGGTTGCTATCTGAGCTCAGCACAATTCAGGTTTTCTTCCTTTGAAGCTCACCCAAGATGTGCTTGATATTTGGAAGTACATCAAGGGTGTGATATCTGTCCTTCAGTCATATTTAGAAACGTCATGGCATCAAAGAGAAAGCCAAAGGTCATTTTATTGAGAAAAGCTAGTACTTCACCAACCAGTCTAGTTCTAAGGAAAGTCAAACAGTCGTGCTTGTTGTTTAATGAAGGTGTCTGGGTTGTCAAATTCTGTCTCCTTCAATTTCATTGCAGAGTACTGGGAGGGACAAGGGTGCCGCACTGGCCTAGACTTACGCAAACCTGTGGATCTATCCCAAAACAGACATAGCCTCTGGGAAGAGATAACTCCTCCTCACAAAGACTTCTGACGGCAAAACCACACTGTGCTGACGAGCATTTTGGATGTGGTGTTATAAACCAGATTTTGTACATTGGGCAAAGGAGACTCCCCGGGCCTTTTTGGGAAAATGCCACCCACAGAGCCACCCAAAACACAGAACACTTAACTCTCAGCACCTAGGATGTCTTAGTCTGGAGGGATCTGCATAGTTAGTTAGTTTTCTGTTTGATGTGTGGACTACCAAAAAACGGATCACTGCAAATTCCAGACAACAAACGCATCTGGGATTGAGCCATTATATTGTCCAATACAGCCAAGTCATAAAGGTAAGAAACACTGGAAGTATCCAAGCATGCTTCCACCTAGCCTCAGTACTGGTCACTAGTGTACAACCTGCCCTGCCTGTGATTATGGTGGATTATGTGCAGAAGGAAAGTATCACACAGACTGAAATCCATCCCCAAATCGTAAACTTTTGTTTTTGCTTGAGAACAGTATTAAGATTTTTTTTTTTTTTGAAGTGGGAAACATTTCTTTTGTTAACATGCCATGAAAATCCTTCTATGTTGCCAAGTACACATAGGGAAACCCAACCAGTGGAATTTAATGCCCAACCTGTTAGGCTATTTGACGTGCTGTCCAGGCCAGCAGTAACCTGGAACCCAGTTAGACACACAGCATTTCTTAGCCAAGCTAAAGCCCAGTGAATCTGAATCTGCAATTTCACAAGATCTCCTAGGTGATGTGTCAGCAAATTAAACTTTGAGAAGGGTTAAAAGGCTCGAGTTCTACTTCCAGCTCTGGCACTGACCTGTTCCGGAGCCGTAAATACCACTATCTCCTTAAGGTTCATTTTTCTGGAAGAAAAGGAAATAACCTCTTCCTTTAAGCAGCTGTTATGAGATCTTATGACAGTAAAAGAACTTTGAGTGTTAAAAATACTCTATGAAATAAAGCAACACTGACTTTGATAACTGCAGTGTCAAAAAGATCTCTGATAGCATGAAGCTTGCTCTTCACCCAAAACAAAAGGGAA